ATTGCCAACATTCAAAACCCTATGGCTACAGCTGTGCCGTACACAACTTCAGAGAACATTCTAATAGGATTTTGTATGTAGATTCCCAGACCCAGGAGGCTCTGCTTTATGGTCTCAGACAGCTGTCTAATCCCCCTGCCAATTGGGATTCTCGATGACGGAAGCTTTATCAAGCTTCATCACATGTTGACTTTGCTTTAAAAGCCCAGCTCCTACACAAAGACATACGGTGCTCACTACAACAGAAGTACATTCACCAGATGTGGTCTGTGGGCAGCAAACAAACAATTCACTAAACCAAAAACACTTTAGGAAACAGGATGAACTTTCAGTCAGTAAGCATATGTTTATCTTTCCTATTAATCACCTCTCGGTACACTCTCACAAACAGACTGATGCAAGAGACAGGAAATAAAGGTGCACGGCACTCACTGACTGAAACAAAATAGTCAAGGTGCAATTAGGACCCAGGTACTTCAATGTGGCCCTGAAGTTTTGCAAGCCAGGAAAAGCAAGACTGTCTGTCATATTCCAAAGAAAGCTGGCGGTTAAAAAAGGCATCTTTTATGGTCATTTCAGTCATTTAATGCTATCACAGATAAACAAAGATAAAAAGGACACTGTCAACATCTAGCAATCACCAGAAACAAAACACGGAGAGTGACATGATGGGAATACTTGCTTATAAGTTGATCTTTGTGTACAATGTTTGCTTAGTCTTATCAACTTGTCTTTAGATACAGATTTTCCTGGTTTTCTCTAGCTTCCCCATGGGTCACTTGATCCTGAGGCCCCAGGCCCTAAGATGTGTCCCATACTGTAAAACACAGGACACCAGTGGAAAAAAGGAAGGATTCCCACATTGGGATGTCAGAACCATGCTTGTTTCTAGTCCAGGAGGAGATAAAGTCCAGAAGGAGGAGCTTAAGGTCACCTTAGCATTCCCCATCTGCTCAGTGAAAATGGGTACCCAGATAATAAGCTCTGTAAATGTGTGGACCCGGTAAAAACCCAACAACTAAGGCCGCTCTGACAGGGGCCAGCAAGCTGAGGTGTGGCTTCAGAGGTACAACAAAGAATCTTCTATAGATAATTTTCTTCTTAAAGAATCATTTGGATCCAAGATTTGCTTGAAAATATTATAAAAAATAAATGTATGTGGGGACAGATAAAAAGTGGGAGACTGGTGATAACTGTTAAAGATGGAACATGAGAGCTTTGGGGAGGCATTTTACTATTCTCTGTACATATGCTCAAAATTTTTCATCTAAAAATGGTTAAAGACACTTTGGGAAGCCAGCAAAATAAAAACAAAATGCATTATCTGAAAGTGTACAATGAAACATCAACAGGAAAATATGGTGGTTTTGACCTGTTAATGAGAACTGGTATCAGGCAAGATTCTTGCTTTAAGATTTCAACCATGGGAAAAGACACATTGAGCAAACTGTAAGGCTGTACACAAACACCACTGCAAAATAAGCCACTCTATCTATATGGAGCCTGATAAGGGTCAACGCCAACCTCAACAAGTTGTTTTACTTTCAGGAAAAAGAAGGGGGGAGGGGTTTCCTTCACAAACGTAAAAGTGAATGTTATTCAAGTTAAAAATGAGGTTACAGGGAAAACAATTGCAATCGTTGTAATCAACGTTTGGTCTCTGGATCAACTCAGGAGAGCAGCCCGCTCACTGCTGCCCTGGGAGGAGCAGCCGCCCGACCCGAAGGTGCTTCCCTAGTGTGGCCTTTCCACACACAGGAACCAGCGTCCTGGCTGCTACTGGGTTGTGCTAATCTAACCATCCTTGCTATTTGAGACTGAAATGACAAAATAGATGTTTATATCATTCCTTTGTCCAAATTCCTAAACACTTCTATCTCCATAAGAAGTTTTGTTCCTATTTCCTGCTTTAAATCTGGAAGGGCATTTCCATGTTCTCACCCCTGCCTTTCTTTTCTCTCTCAGGAAGCATATCCACTTCTCTAATCTTAAGAGGTGGATTCTAGGTCCCCACCATGAGTTCTTCCCTCTACATCAATTAACTAGACATTTCACTATTTCCTACCAGCACCACAACCTCCACCATCAAGGTCACTCCCCACAGAATGACTTCTGCTCTTGATTACCTTATTGAGTTAAGGGATCAACCATTCACCTAGAGGATAGCCAAGACTCAAATACACTGCTGACACCTATTTCTCCCCAACACATGCCACTGACTGCCAAACCCTGTAGTCTATTTCTACAAGGACTTTCACCCTGCTTCCTACTTCCAGTGTCCCTTGAACATCACAGAACCCCCTGTGTTCCAAGTCCTCCCTTTTCTCCTCATCTGTGGTCTTAGGAATCAGACAAATGTAGGCTTAAATCATAGCTCTGCTACTGACCATCTGAGTGACTTTGGCAAAGCTTAATCTCTCTTAACCTCAATTTCCTCATCGTAAAGGGGGGAAAAAACAGATGACACCAACTTCATGTGGCATCTCTGTGGATTAAATGAGGATTAAATATTTGTTAAGAATTTCAGTCAGTGCCTTGACACAGAAAAGAGTAACCCTTTTAAAAACAAATCAGATTATGCTTCTGGTTATTCAAAATCCTTTGTTAGCTCCTGATCTCCCTCAGTCAAGTCACACAGCAGCCCATAAATCCCATGCAATCCTCCTCTCACCTTTTACCATCCTCCTATTGCCCCCAGCCATGTGGGCCTCCTTGCATTCCTTGAATTCTGCCAGCATGCCCCGGTTTCAGGGCCTTTGCATTGGCTGTTCCTGTCTGCCTAGGTCTTTGACCAAATGTCATTATCTCACAGAGGTCTCCCACCACCACTGCTTATTCCCCTGGGATATCCCATCCCTCTTCCCTGCTTAATATTTTTCCATGACACTCAGCACCTCTGAAGATCTTTACATTTTGTTGCCAACTTGTTTAATGTCCAACTCTATCACTGCAAGCTCCTAGAGAGCTGGTTTATCTCCTGTTGTCTGCTGTTCTTAGCATCTAAAACAGTGCCTGGCACACAGAAGATGTTTAATGAATGCACTGCTGAATGGAGCAACTGTTAGTTTCCTTTCTCCTTCCTGTTTAGCCTCATATCCATCTTTGATCACTTCTAATCATCCAGCAGACACACAATCAACCCTCGACCCAGGACCTACATAGAAAGCCTCTTTCCTCCATCCAGGTTCTGAGCACTGTTGAAGAAAATACTGCAATCATACACATATCTCATACACATATGGCCAGTTGGGTCTCAGGCCATTTTAGCTCTATCTATCTAATTTCTGGTTGACCTCGGTTCCCATCCCTCCTAGCTGCTATTTCAAACCCTGCCTCCCCACAGAATGGCTTCTGCTCTTGATTACCTTATTGAGTTAAGGAATCAACCATTCACCTCAAGGCCCTTTCTTACCACAGATGAATCTGCCTTCGGTGCCACAGGGGGACTGCATGAGCTTACTGAGACTGCCAACCCTTTACCTTCTCAGTTTGCCCGCTCCACCCTTCCCTTCCAGTCTTTGGTAAAGGGACAGGCTTTAACCCTCAAGCCCAGATACTCACACTTCCATCTGGGCCCCAGGCAGTCCTCTGTCTGTAATCTCCAGCTCCTCCTTTCTGCTGGCTACCTCACTGCCCCTTCTGCCTATAAAACCTCTAATTCCCCCTCTCCTCTGTACATGATTCCCTTTCTTTCCTAAATGCATCCATTTTAAGTACACGGGTTGAATAATCTTGAAAGCATA